CAGCTGACCAGCAGCCAGAGACGCCTGTGCCCACGCGCTGGAGGCCGGCGCTGCGCCGGGACCGTGCGAGAGATGCGAAGCAGCAGGCGCAGCTGGGGAGTGCAGCGTGGCAGACTAAGGCGTTGCATGCCCGGGTCCTCTCGGAGAGTACGACGTGGACACGCCTGGAGCCAGCGGGCGGTCGACGCCGCGGGCGACGGCAGCACCAGCGCCGTGCATGTAACCAGAGGGACCTGGGGCAAGAGGAGGAGCTGCGAGGTGGCACTCTCAACGTGCGGGGCCTCAACTGGACGCGAGTGGCTGCCTTCGCGAAGTGGAAGGAGGTCATCTTGGGCGCCCGCAGAGCTCAGTGGGACTTTGTAGGCCTTTCAGACATGCATTCTCCAGAGCCAGCAGTCGTTTGTGTGGAAGAGTTCGTCATGGTGTCTGGCTTGCGCAGTGCAGTTTTGCTCAACAGGGCTTGCACGAAGGCTTGGATTGCGGACGGACAACAGATCAAACACAGCGGAGATCGCATCACAGCAGTTTCGCTCAGCCTTCATGGGGTCCGCTAGTGGTTGATCAGCTGCTATGCTCCCACATCTGACCAGGAGGAGGCGCGTGAAGCATTTCTTCATCATTTGGACGATCTGCAGGCGTCTTTCGCCCCTGAAGACAAACTTATTTTTATGGGGGACTGGAATGGACACGTGGGGGGGCGCAGGCCGCGAGCGACGGTTGTCGACGGTGATTGGCATGGCCCTTGGGGTATGTTGAAGCCCAGCGTGCCTGCAGGCCTCCGCGTGGGGGCGTGGTGCGAAGAGCACGGCTTGCAAATGGCGGACTCATGTTTCGTGTTCTCATCTCGTGGAACGTGGAGGCATCCGCAATCTGGAGATTGGTACGAATTGGACTACTTCCTCTGCAGCCCAGACCTGCGCAAGCGCATCGTGCTGATCCGCACCAAGGCTATCCAAGCATACACGGACCACATGGCCAAGGAGATCCGGCTCCGCATTGCCAAACCTCGCGGCAGTCGTTCCTTCAAGTGGGAGACCGCAGACTACGTTACAAGCCCCCGATCCGGATTGATCTTATGAAGGGGCCGTCTCCGAGCGCCGTGGCCCGCCGTGCAGAGTTTGGGGATCGTGTTCGGACAGCGGCCGAAGCTTTGCCACCACTGTCTCGTTCGTGGGAGTGCCTGTCCCGGTGCCTCGTGGAGGCGGCGGAGACCGTGGTGGGCAGAGGGCAACCACCCAAGTTCGGTGACCACAGCCGGGAGGCAGCTACAGACCGAGAGGCGCTGATCTCTTCGTGGGAGACAGTGCGATCAGCCCAAGGCTCGCCCGGGGAAGAAGCAGCGCGCGCCAGACACAGAGCGCTCAACCGACAGGTTCGTGCCAAGCACCGACGCTGGACATAGGAACGTATCGAGGACACCGTGAAGACTTTGTCCGCCGCGGCGGCGTGCGACGACACGGGCAAGCTCTTCTCCACGATCAGAGTGCTGCGCAAACAACTGGCCAAGCAAAGCAAGGAAGAGCAGGAACCGTACACGCTGGAACAAACTCGCAAGCACATGCTGGGCATCGCCAGAGCACCGAACACGGTTCCGGAGGCGCTGTTCGCAAGTTTCCCGCCCCCTCGCCCAGTTGCGAGTGCCCTTGGGGAAGCTCCTTCTCGTCAGGAGTAGACGCCAACATCGCCAAGATGAAGGGCAGCGCTGGCGGCAAGGACGAGGTCCGAATCGAGATGGTGAAGGGTGCTCCACACATTTTTCGGGATATGCTAGCGGAGTTAATTCAGAAGATGTGGATAACAGACCCAGCATTGTGGGAGCATCAGTGCGTCGAGGCTCTTGTCAAATTGCTGTACAAACGCAAAAGAGACAAGAAGGACCTCAACAACTGGCGCGGCATATGCCTGCTCTCGATATGCTCGCGCATTGTGGCGCGCATAGTGGCTTCCAGGCTCACGGCGTGGAGCGAGAGGGAGAACCTCATTGTGCCTGAGCAGTACGGCTTCCGGCCCAACAGGAGCACGCTCGACGTCCTGTTCGCAACTCGCCTGCTGGTCGAGATGGCCAGTCGCACTCTGTCCCCCGAGCCTGCGGAGAGGGTCACGCTCGTCTTGCTGGACCTCATCAAGGCGTACCCGAATACCCCTCGCAATGCGTGTTGGGCAGTGCTGGACAACATGGGCGTCCATCCAGCGATGCTGCGCGTCATCCGCGGACTACACGAAACGACGAGCTACCAGGTGGATGGAGCGCAAGGGCGGTCGGAGACGTACAAGCTGCAGCGGGGGCTGAGAGAGGGGTGCCCGTCATCCTGCATAATCTTCAATCTATACCACAGCTGGGTCATCTCGCAGGTGCAGGCCCGCATTCGTTCCGAACTCGGACCCGAGGCGGGGGTGGCCGTGCAGTCCATAGGTGAACAAGGTGTGTCGCAATCGCTGCGGACAGCTGTGGGGTCCGCGCACAGGCGCCTCCTCCGCGAGGTGCCGACGTCTCTGCATCTCTCTCGGCTGCTTACGCTCCTCTTTGCAGATGACACAACGATGCTTTCTCGAGAAGCCCAGAGAGACGACATCGAGAGACTCACGATAGAGGTCATGCGCGACTGGGGCGAGACAGCCCACCCGGGCAAGACAGAAAGGCTCCGCCTGGGTCACCCGACCGAGGATCCCGTGGCCGACCCCGACGTGGAGTTCAAGACGGCAGTGCGGCTCCTGGGGGGATGGTTCGAAGCTACGGGCGGGCTGGGTGTGGACACGCAGAAGAGGCTCAGCGCAGCGAGACAGGCGTGGGGCAAGCTACACAAGTCCTTGCAGTACTCGGGCCTATCCAAGAAGCAGAAAGGAGCTATCGTCCAGGCCTTTGTGGTTAGCACCCTGGTGTATGGTTGTGCATGCCGCCCCTTCTCCGCAGTGGAAATGCGCCAATATGAATCTTTTATGAACAGAATGGTCAGGGGTGTGTGCCTGAGCAAGGGGGCCGGTATCTCGAACATGCGGGGTCAGCGCAACATGGCGGATTTGCGGGCCGAGTGCGGTCTGCACCCCGTCGGCGCAGTGATCAAGAAGCGGCAGCTACTGTATTAGGGGCACGTGGCCCGACAGCCTCATTCCCGACTCGAGAAGCAGCTCCTCAACGGTTGGCTGGTCCCAGAGGCAAATCGCACGGCGCCAACGACCGGCTGGGGCAACCGCTCTTTCCGGGCGTACCTGGAAACGGTGGTGGGGGAGCTGAGCGAGTACGATGCGAGGCCGTGGCAGATCGTCGCCAACGAGTCTGTGCGTGCGCACGGAGACACTTGGAAGCAGCTCGTCGCCAGATGGTTCACCGACGCCATCGCGGCTGACCGGGTCACGTCCTACGGGCACCAGCCGCAGGCAGGGCGCAATCCTCCCCCTCCGCCTCCGCTAGTCGACCCAGGGTCGCCGCCCAGGTTCTCAGCAGCTGGTCGCCGATTGAAGAAATGCCACGACTGCGGGGGATACTTCGGCAACCTGCCGTTGCACGTGCTCGGTTGCCCTGCGCGCGCAGTTCCAGGCGCCCCTCGACCCGGTCGCGCCCGCGGGCGGCAGGCGGGCCAGGCACCCGTTGCCGGGCTTGAGAACTGCCACCGGTGCGGCAAGCTGTTGGCCGTGAGCCCGGGAGCGCGGGCCGGGCACGAGAAGATGTGCAGTGCAGCTGCGGCCAAGAATGTATATGATATCCCTATGGAGGGAGTCCGTGATCGCCGTCGGCGGCGCTTCCCTGCGGCGGAGGTGGCCCAGTGGTCTTGTGGTCCGTGCACATCCTGCGGTCTTTTCTGGCCAGACGACAAAGTGCTCCGGCAGCATCAAGCCACATGTCTGGCGAAACGTCAGGCGGCTGGCCTCCAGATGCCGTGACGCTGCCGCTGCCAATCCTGCTCTGCTTCCTGGCCTTGCTCTTCTCCGCTTACAAGGTCGTCTACACCTACATGGTCCTCCTGCTCGCCTACCAGATCGCCTACTCCTACGTGACCCTCCTCTTCGCCTACCGGGTCGTCTTCACCTTCCTGGCCCTCGTCTTCGCCGACCGGGTCGTCGACTCCTCCCTGGCCTTGTTCTTTGCGTACCGGGTCGTCTACATCTATGCGGCCCTCCTCTTCGCCCACCGGGTCGTCTACACCTACGTGGCCCTCCCCTTCGCCTGCCGGATTGCCGACTTCTTCCTGTCCCTCCTCTTCGCCTACCGGGTCATCTTCTCCTTCCATGTCTCTTTCTTCGCCAATCGGGTCGTCTTCTCCTTCCTGGCCCCCTTCTACTCCTACCGGGTCGTCGGCTCCGACTCCTTCCTGGCCCCTCGGAGGGGGGGAGGCCCTGGCCCCTCCTGGGGCCCGCGGGCCCGCCAGGGCCCCCCACGTCCCCCGCGGGGGAGGCCAGGTCGGGCGCTGCGGTGCTGGCCTGGCCACGGGTGCTTCTCAGCGACGCTCCATCGTGCTGGCTGTGGGCGGTGGCGGGGCCAGGGCGACCAGCGCCTGGTCTTCGAGCGCCCCGCACAACAGAAGAAGACAACAAACATACATACACATAAACTGTCGGCGCTCCGCGCGGACTGCTTGGATGTGCGCTGGACCCCCCTCCCTGGCGTTCGGGGCGCGCCAGGGGCGGCGCCGGAGGCGCCGCCTGGGGGGCTCCACGCGGATCCAAGAAATCCGCGCGGAGCGCCACAAGTTTATGTTTATGGCGTTTTTTTTTTTTTTGATGATGATGATGATGATGTTGATGATGATGATGATGATGATGATGATGATGATGATGATGATGATGATGATGATGATGATGATGATGATGATGATGAGTATTATTATTACTATTAGTATTATTATGATTTCGAATATGATTATTATTATTATTATTCTTCGATCCGAGGGGGGGCCGAAAAAATACCTCCTCGCGGGGCCCCGGCCCCGCCGTCGTCCGCGTCGCCCACGGAGACGCCGGCCGCCGCGGGGTCCCTGCGGCCGGCCGCCTTCCGCTCCAGCTTCCTCGGGCGGGGGGGCGCGGCAGGGGGGCGCGGGGCCGGAGCGGGGGCGCGGGGCCCGGAGCGCCTGCTCCCGATCCTCACGCACGCGGCCTCCCTTTGGCCCAGCACGATGGGGCCCACGCACACTCACACACAATCACACTCACACGCTCACAAATGAACAGAAACACAGATTCCAGGATCCCCGATGTCCTTCTGTATGTCATGAGCGTTCGTCTTCTCCTTCCGCTGCCCATGCTCGCTACATTTTCTCGGAGGTCGACGACTATTTGTGCCGGTGTGCTTTTCCCTCTCAAAGCAGCGGGCTCGAGGCCGCCCTCCCCGGCCCCAAGGGGCGGTGGCCATGCTCAGGCGAGGCGCAGCGGCGCCAGAGAGAGAAGAAGAGGGCGGGGGGTGGTGGGACAAGCGGCCTCGCCTCTACACTTAGGTCGGGCGTGTCCCCCTACAGGGGGATTGTAGACGAAAAATGAAAAAAATTAGAAAAATGCTCAAAAGATACCCCAACATACTCAAAACATAGTCCCCAAACTATTTTTTGACTATTTCTGAAGATTCCCCCTGTAGAGGGACGTGCCCGACTTAACTCTACAGTCAACCCGTACATCAAGGACGCATGATGAGGATGCAAGGGCTTTGGAGGGCCATGTTGACACTTTGCGAGCGGGATGCGGCCAGGGAAAGCGGCCGAGGATGGGCCGAAGAGGAAATATGCAAGGGTAATCTTGGAAAGTCGCCCGTCCTTGCAATGCGGGCTGGCTGGGGCGGGACAAGCGGCCCCCCCTCTGCCCCACGCGGCTGCGGAGAGGGAAGGGGGATGGGCAATGCCACACGGGCTGCGCTTCGCACTCGCGTATCCGCGCGTTTTGTTGCTGGTGGCGGTCATCTGTGTGAGTACCAACCAGACCACCCCCATCCAGGGAAGGGGGTGGGCAATGCAACACGGGCTGCGCTTCGCATTCGCGTATCCGCGCATTTTGTTGCTGGTGGCGGTTATCTGTGTGAGTGCCAACCAGACCACCCCCTATCCAGGGAGGCAATGAATTGGGCTCAGTTCCAGAAGCCCCGAGTCCCCCCAGAAGTGTCCGTTCCGGAAAGGGCCGATGAAAGCGGGTCCACCCGCGCTTTGCCTCCGCCGACGAGGAAAAAACGTCAACCGACCGACCCCCCTCGAAGGCGAGGCCCTCCCTGGAGCGCCTCCTGCGCTTCCCCCCTTGAGGGGGTGCGGGATGGAAGCTCGGGAGCGGGAGGTCAGGGAGGGCTTTTGCCTGCCGCAGGTCCTGGCGATGCGCACGCTCGTACATGTTGCTTTCGGGGCTTCCTTTTCGTCAGCCCGCTCCGAGAACAATCGGGACAGCCCTGCGTGCTGACCGCCCTGGGGGCTCGGGTTGGTGTCAAGGTCTTCCCCTCAGCTCACCAGGCCGAGCTCCCGGAACCACCCCCCACCCTGGGAGGGAGGAAATGGGAGAGCGAGCGGGGGGTCAGGAGGGAGAAACGGCAATGCATTCTTTTGCCTCTCGCCCCCCAATGCGTCAGGACGTTCTTTCTTGCGCCCGCTCAACAGAACTTCCGTGCTGCCGGGTCCTCTGCGTCACTATGAGTTCAAACGTGTTCTTGCGCTGTATGCGCTCCTTCATGTCTCGACGCCTGGCCATGCATCTGCACGCACTTCCAAACACCCATCCGCAATAGGAAGAGTCCGTTGATCGTTGTTATGTTGCCCATAGGAACGTAAGGCGCACGTGAATCTATCGGAATATGCAACGATGTTATCCCTCCCAATCCCGGAGCGGCGGCGCGTCTGGCCCCCGCGCTTCCCACTTCCTCCTCCTCTCCCTCCCTCTTCCCGCCGCAGGGCTTCGTTCGCTGGGCGAAGCATGTGTCGGGGTACCTGACGGGCGATGCGCTATGATCGTCTCTTCGTCCGCGGCCCTTTTGATAACGAGGCTCTAGTTCAACGTCAGCAGTTTCCGGCCGCCGATCCCTCTCCTCCACTCTCCCATCCTATCTGTACGACTTCTGACCGACACGTGGTGTTGCTCAGGCGCCCAATTCCTATCGAGTGAGGACGCCCTAGCAACCCTTGCCGAGGACAAGGGTGCGCTGCAGCACTGCACTGTTACCGAGCCCGAGCGCACCAGCAGCCCACGTCGTGCGCTCCAGCACTGGCTGCATCTTTGCGAAGCACGAGCCCTCCCGCACTCCGGGCATAAAACAAGGGTGTGACGTCGCTGTCACCGTCGTCGCCGCCTTCGCCGTCGCCGTCGCCGTCCTGCTGTCGCCCCGTCGCCTTCGCCTGCGCCGTCGCTGTCATTATCGCAACCGCCACCGCCGTCGCAACCGTCGGTGTCGCTATCGTTGTCATCGTCGCCGCCAGCGTCGTCGTCGACGCTTTCATTTGCGCCGTCGGCATCGCCATCGCCGCCGTCGCCGACGCTACCGTCGCCGTCGTTGTCGCCGTCGGCATCGTCGTCGTTGTCGACGCCGCGGCCAGGCCGTCGCCGTCGCCGCACATACATCCACCTGCCGCAATACAATGTGGCTTCCACTTCTCACTTGCAGTACACCCACCTGACCGTAATACAATGTGGCGTGATCCTCTGTACTCCTTCACTGTCCTGCAGTCTTGCGTGTTTGTGGTCCACACGATGCACTTGCGTGTGTAGTGTTGCGAATCCCCACGTACCAGACAATTCCTGTCCTTCGAGCTCACAATCAAACTCGCACATCATCCGCAGCAGTTGCCCGAGCATTCTGCTGTGCGCTTGCTTTACAATGGCCGGTCCTGACAGCGACTACGGGGTCACGTGGCTGTTGGACGGCGTGCTTTGTTGACCGAGTACGCGCTTGATGGCGTTTTGTTGATTGAGTACGCGCTTGATGGCTTGCACGCTCAGGCGTGCTCGATGTGGCTCTTGCGTGGTTGGCTGTGCAACCTTTCGACGGCTGGCCCTCCTGCTGCTGGGCGTACGCCTGCTTCGAGGTCGTGCTTGTGCTCTGGTTCGTGGCTTTGGTGACTTGCCTGCTTGATGGTGTTTGTCTTCGCGTGATTGCGTTCGCTTGCTTGCTCACCCGTTTCACTGTTCGTCTGCTTGTTTGATTTGCTGGGTTGTCCGAGCGGTCATTCATTGCCCCTTGGTGCGTGGCTGAAGTGAGGTTACGCGGTGCGGATTGTTGTTGCGTCGTTGTTGTCGTCGTTGTTGTTGTTGTTGTTGCTGCTGCTGCTGCTGCTGTTGTTGTTGTTGTTGTTGTTGTTGAGTTCTTGTGATTAAAACATGTCAATCCCCCCTGCTCCGTGCACCTCGTGTTTTTCAATTAAAGTGCTCCTCTCTGGGTCCTCAACAGTTTTTTTAACAGGAGAATTCTTGGTGTCCAGAGTGGTCCCCTGGCCCTGGTGTGCAGCAACAGCGGCTCCCGCCGGATACCCCCTTACACTTCATTCCAATATCGCGCTCGCGCGCGGGACTTCCTTAGAATGTATGGTGGAATCGCACTCTTGCGTGGTGCTTCCTCGCAGTTTATTGCAGCGCCGTGCCCCCAAGACTCAGGAATCACGCTCTCGCGATTAACATCTTACGATTTACTTAGAAATCGCGCCATCACTTGAAACTTCCTTGCGATTCATATTGGATTCACGCTTCAGCGACCGTCCCGCTCGACCCGACCGTCTGGGCCCGCCCGCCCGACCTGCCCGTTAGGATTTGCCCGCCGACCCGCCCATCTGGTTCTGCCGCTTGTACTCCTGCTCCGAACCCTTCTCCTGCAAATCTCTCTCGTGGTCTATCCTTCTCCCACCCCCTTGCCTCTTCTCTCCTCCCTTCGTGTTCCTGTTTTAGGGCCTGCGCCAGCTACACGCGGCAGGCAGGGAAGATATACTCCCAAGGAATATACGTTCGAAGACGAACAATAGCGACGGTTTGTGATATACGTGTTGGATGGCACGTGAGCAGATAAGAACGAAGAGCCTTGAAACTATTGTTATGGTTGTTCTTGCCGTTGAATCTTAATTACCCGACAATTATCCGCCACCGTGCCGCGAGGCGCGAAGTGGAGCTTTCCCTAGGTCCTCATTTGTTCTCTCTTCTCTGCACTCAGGGCTCTGATACTATAGTACCCTAAGGGCTAGGACCCCAACGTCCCACATTTCCTGGGCGTTCCCGCGCGTTCCCGGGCTGGCTCGCATGACTTTTCCAGAGGCCAGGCAGCCCCAAGACGGGCCAAGAGGGCCCAGAAAGCGCACAAGAGGGACCAAGAGGCCTCCAAGACAGCCCAAGCGCTCACCAAGACGCCCAAGATGGCCCCAAGGGGCCCTGAAGAAGCCCCAAGAGCGCTCCAAGAGGATCCCCAAGAGAGCCCAAAGAAGCAAGCATCATTGAGTTTCCTTGTGTACTCAAGATGTGTATCGCGTTCTCCCGTTTTCGGGCTTCCGTGCTCCAAGACGGCCTCAGGGACCCCCAAGACCGCCCCAAGACGGCCCAAGAGGCCCCCAAGAGGGCTCCAAGACGGTCCAAGAGGGCCCCAACACAACCCAAGAGGCGCCCAAGACACAGAGGGCCCCAAGACGGCTGTGATGAGCGAGGCTGACGCATGCGAACGTCGCCACTGGGGCCTTCGATGGAGCCCCCCGATCGGGCCACGACACTTGTGAGGGGTGTGCCGAACTGTGGGGCGAGGCGGACGCGTGCGAACGTCGCCACTGGGGCCTTCGGGGGGACTCCCTATGGGGCCACGAAGCGCTTTACCAGGCGGGGCGGACGCATGCGAACGTCGCCATTGGGGCCTTCGGGGGGACTCCCTATGGGGCCACGAAGCGCTTTACCAGCGTCGCCACTGGGACCTTCGGTGGGGCTCCCTGTGGGGCCGGCGCTGTACGGGGTGGGGCGAGAGCGTGCGAACGTCGCCAGTGGGGCCTTCGGTGGAGCTCCCTGTGGGGCCACGAAGCGCTGTACTGGGTGGGGCGGACGCGTGTGTGAACGTCGCCACTGGGGCCTTTGGTGAGGTTCC